CCCCCCCCCCCCCCCCCCCCCCGCTTATTCAGCGGTCGGCTGAATCGTTGCGATTTTTTTTTGGACCAAAAAAAAAAAAAAAAGTGACTCTTACCCCCCCCCCCCCCCCCCCCCCCCCCCCCCCCCCCCCCCCCCCCCCCCCCCCCCCCCCCCCCCCCCCCCCCCCCCGCTTATTCAGCGGCTGGCTGAGTCGTTGCGAAATTTTCGGCCTGATTTATAAATGTTAAACCCCCCCCCCCCCTTGAAAAAATCCTGCGTACGCGCCTGATTGCACATTGAAATTAAATTGTTGTTCACACTTTTTTTTATACAAAAAAAAAAAGGATGGCTAGTTTTTTTAAACGAAGAACGGGATTTAAAACAGAATAATGAGATTACTTTCATTAAAATCGGATTTATTTGGTTTGTGTCAAAAAAAAGATGGAATTGTACTGCTTGCTTTTAATGACCTCTTGTGACCCTGCAAATTTTATCAGTGTACTGCATGCATTTTGCTGTTAACAATGAGAGAGAGAGAAAGAGAGAAGAAAAAATTCTGCATCACTATAATCACCACTTCTCGTAACTGGTTTCCATTCTCTCGTCAACATTATATTTCTTCAATCTTCACTAATTTGTATTGTTTCTCATGAATTATTGGATAATTAATTTGTTGGAATGTATATTCATTTCATAAAAGATTCCCTTGACAACATCTATGGCAATATTGGTTAATCAGTTGAATAATTATGATCATGACCACATGGTCTAAATACTATTCTTTCAGATCTTGTAGATTTACAGTATTTATCAATTAATTGGGACGAGACGACAGCCAAAATCTGTCCTGCAGTTCGCAATCGAGCCGATATTTTGTTTGCACGTGAACCCCAGTGTGAGGTGACAACTCTGGTCGCAATGGAGATGACAGAAAGACGAAATAGACACACCTTTCCAATGATTTTACCTTGATTTTTCTCTTTAAAAAACCCCAAATTGCCCACTAAATTTCAAAATAGATCACACTGGTATATAGGCTTATTATCATTATATTGAGGGACAACAAGTTTTGTATTGAGTTACAGATTCCCGTCTTTTTCTACTTTATTGTCAGTCATGTCAGTGAGGCGGAGTGTTGATATTGCCACAATTTCAGTTTTTCTTAATTACACCAAAAGTAGAATAAAATCTTGGAAACTCCTAAATACGAATACGTATTAGAAGCAGCCCCCCCCACGTCCCCCGCCTAAAAAACAAATTTCTTTAAAAAAGAATGGTATGCACATTCTTGGGGAAGAATGAAAGACATTTCGTTATTTTCATTGACTTTTATGAAATCATGTAGAGATGCTGAGTTATCAGACTGAAATATATTATGGCCCTCTATTAATATAAAAAGATTATACAGTTTTTACGCACATGTCGTAAAAATGCGCGCACGTTGATCTTATTTCAAGTGCGCATCGTGGTGCGTCTCTCAGACTAAACCTGATACTTAAGGATGACCCTGAAAGCAAAAATCGGTCACTAATTCTCGTAACTATTAAGATCAGACACTCCAATAAATATTACCATCTCAGTGGCGTATCCATCATAGGACATACTCGATGCACGCTCTCCTATTTTCTAGACCGTCAAAAATATGATAAATCATTATAGGTTTTAGTAGTTTGGCCCATTTTGTCCCTTAAAAATATCATCCTCTGAATATTGGAATCTACTTATATTTTACATATTATATAATTATATATAATTAAAGATTTAGGTAGACCTCCCTAAAAATGAAGTTAGTATACACGCTTTTTATTGATTGATAAAGGTTCCCCCTTCTTCCTATAAGGGCCAGCAGTGTTCACAAACTAGAAAAACAGCGTTCTCTGCAGGTACTTAGTAACATTGTGATGGTTGATTTCACAAATCTGTTGAATCAGGATGCAAAACACGTAAAATTATGTTTGTATGTATGGAGGATTATCCAACTACGATGCTCCAAATCCGATTGGTAATAAGGGCTTCCATTTCATTTTTGAGAGGGGGGAGGCGTTTTCAAAACTGGTCTATATCTTTAAAGGTACTTAGTAACATTGTGATGGTTGATTTCACAAATCTGTTGAATCAGGATGCAAAACACGTAAAGTTATGTTTGTATGTATGGATTATCCAACTACAATGCCCCAAATCCGAAATTAATTCACGCAAAATGAAGATTTTTAACAAAGTTCAACGGGTTTTCAAACGGGCGTCGATGTGCGGCGCTTCTGAAATTAAATTCTCCCAACCATTTTTTGAATTTTCCCAACCGTTTTTCCATGAAAAAAAGACATAAAAACAGGCTATAAAAAGACGTCTGGAATGGAATGTAGAGCCATTTTATTTGTGAGATTTCCATTCACCTAAAATGTCATTAAATTGTAATACTATAGTAATGGGAAAATAATTTTAAGGAATCGATCGGATCAGTTTTTCCCCATTTGTACCATGAATAATGGTCCGTTTTCGCTCAAATTTTCAGATTATCTTTAATTGTACATCTAGCATTGAAGTCAATGCCTTAGCACAACTATCTCTCATCTGAACAATGTTACAAAGTCCCTTTAATTGATAGACGAGGACTGGAATCTTTATTTTACGCCCTTCCAGGGGTATTAAAGTGACTCGGTAACATTGTTGAAAGCTGATGAAAAAAATTGATTAATTTTTGTATAAAATGTTACTTACTATATTCCTTCTACTATACTAACCCTCTGACATGCAAAATGTCCTGAACAAATTTTCAAACCACAAAGATATCTATGGTTTTCTTTGAAGGCGTTGATGTGAGGCACCCTCTAACAGTGATTAACAGTAAATTCTCCCAACCATTTTTGAATTTTCCCAACCGTTTTTCCATGAGAAAAATACATAAAACAGGCTATAAAATCTGTCAACACTTACTGTCTGGAATGGAATGTAGAGCCATTTTATTGCTTTGTGACGATTTACATTCACCTAAAATGTAATTAAATTGTCCTTGTCTTGATGCTGAACAGGCTTTGACAAGTAGCAGAATAGAAGTAGAATAATATAGTTGGGAGAATTAAGGAACCAATCAGATCAGTTTTTCCCAATTTGTACCATGAATAATGGCCCGTTTTCTCTCAAATTTCCAGATTATCTTTAATTGTACATCTAGCATTGAAGTCACTACCTTAACACCACTATCTCTCATCTGAACAATGTTACAAAGTCCCTTTAATAGAGGAAAATCAAGTATTCATGAGAAATACTGTGATGAGACATGTAGATCTAAACTGATATGAATGGCGTTTAGATAAGAAAGAAATCATGAAAGACAATCCTCACAGATGATCTTCCTTCTTTCTCGAGTTCTTTCTTCCTCTTTCGTTTATGTATTATAGACAGTAGGCCTATACGAAAAGACAGTAAGTGATATTAATCGTATTTCGATGGTCAATCTGTTATACATTATGATAAACGTGCCAAACACTCGTTCTAAACATCACCCCATCTCTGTCGTTCGCTCTCTCTCTCTCTCTCTCTCTCTCTCTCTCTCTCTCTCCCTCCCTCTCTCTCTCTCTCTCTCTTTTTCTCCCTCCCCAATTCTATCCCTCTCTTCGAGGCGCGAGCTCAGTCGGTAGAGCAGTGGTCTCGTATAATCCGGTGACCCGGGTTCAAAACCAAGACGATGCGCTAGTGCCCTTTTAGGTATTAATATTCATTACCAGGTACCTCGGCCGTCTGGTTGCTTACTTACAAGCATTTATGCTTTCTTAGCAGTCAGGTAAAATAACCACCATCACCCTTCCAATTACTATCTCCCTCTTTATCTCTATTTCTCTCCCTCTTCTATCCCCCTCTTTCATTGTTCCACTTATTACAAAATCTCCCCTTTCTCTTTCCATCACACCCCAAGATACCACCCCTTCCTCTCTCTCTCTCTCTCTCTCTCTCTCTCTCTCTGTCTCATCTTTCAAGTTCAACTCCAACCTCATCCACTGAACCGTCATCCATGTACACACACGCATGCGCGCTACACTAATGAAATACACCGTGCAAGCCTGCAAGAGAGCAACGGCGGGTGTAAAGCCTGCCGTGCATATCACATGCAGAGTGAGCAGCAAAGTCTCTGCATCCAGCATTTTCACCTGTTAAGTACATGGATAGCGGGGGAGCCAACTCTTGCATTATATTGCGCTCAAAATGCATTTGAACATCTCGCGATAACATATTAGCCCATTTCCTTCTCATCAATTTCACGGTGAACCACATCATTCGTACAACGGATTCCATTCGCCTCGCTGGCTGCAACAACTATTACCACACAACTCCGACAACATCGCAAATTAATATTTTCGCATTCCAGATCGAATTGATAGAAACAGACGGAGGGACACATGGACACATTTTGCATTTCAGTGAAAACGACCTCCGTTTTTCTCCGGCATCCTCACCCTTGTCTCAAAAGCGGATTGCACGCTTATTTCTGTTCATCGTCGCCTTCCTTCAACTTGTCCGTCTTTCTTTGTGGCCTTGATCCTTTCAGTATTGGCTTTGTTCGTTGAAATCAGCTGCACGTCTCCGCCACTGAGAAGTAAGTAAGTAAGTATTCACCACTTCCCTGTTTTCTGTTTCCCGGCTCCTTTTTTACAAGAAAGAATCGTCGGAAACGAACGTGCTCAAGCTGTATTTTTGTCAAAGCCATGGGTCGCCGGAAAACTCTTTTAGTAATTATTTTGTATGTGTTAGGAAGGAATGGTGGTTAACTTGATTCAATATAATGATATTCAAAACATTTAAGCTCATAATATCAATTTCTCAATTTTAAGTAGGATTATGATGTGATTCTGATTGTAGGTTTACGAGGCATTATTATCTTTATTTATATAACTTGTGTACATTTTCGTAAGGAATATTGTACATCAAAGGGCATGAAAACACATAATTTTTTCAAAATTCCTACATTATTGTATTCTTTGGGTGAGGTTTCCTTTAATTACACCGTCATAGAAACTTGACTCCAGAGAGATCGAAACCTATATTTAGAGGTAGTGAAACACAATGAATCGTCCGTTTTCTCTATGTACACGACTATAACCATGAACAAATCTTCCGACTTGTCCAACACTTCCTTGATGGATATATACATATTTATAGCGCTGCAAAAATGACACTACGAACCGATATAGAAATATAGACCCAAAATAATTAGAAGTTAGACTTTCCATCAAGTCGTTTTACAGACTATACCATCATAATTATTATTATCTACGGTTTGTGTGTCCTGTACATTGTACTTTATGAACGGCCACTAAGCATGACTGTCACCAAAACAAAAGTCTGCTCCAGTTGTTACAAAAGCCCTTTCAAAATAAAAGACTGTATTGTGTTTATCTAACGGTGCATACCGGACAGAAATATTATATCCATCGATGATAGTTATTATTGTATAGTACGCATGGCATGCCTATAGCCTTCGTCCATCGGGGAAGTGTGAGCCTGCATAAACTACGTGAGGTGAGCCTTTACTCAAGACAGCAATGTCTTTAGTCTTTACCATCGGTTTCTCATCAATAACGACCGTTCACTCTCCGACGTTGTCTTGTATGGCATGACTCTAAATCAATATAAGTGCTAGCATTTAAAATTTGCAGATAGATCAATAATTTCATTGAGAATGACATAAGTCATTATAAACCTTTTAAAAATACTATTAAATGATTAATTTCCTTATACATTCAGTAAACATCGGTTGAACGTCTTGTGTATGTAGTATGTATTATGCAAATCGCTTATACTATAGAGACATCATCGATGTAGTAATTGCTATATAAACCTTGATTATTATTAGTAGAAGTAGTATGCAGTGGTCCTTTCCCCCTTTTTGTTCATGTTTACGTTTTATGTTACGTATTTATGTTGTTTTGTTACATACTTTCATACTTTGAAAAAGATACCGCTGTGTGATAAGTTGTTTGGGTCAGTGGCGTACGCAGGATTTTTTCAAGGGGGGGGGGGGGGGGGGGTTTAAAATCGGTCCAAAATTTTGCAACGACTCAGGAAAATTTGAAAATCGCGCCGGCCAAAAAGTCGCTCAGTGGGGGGGGGGGGGGGGGGGGGGGGGGGGGGGGGGGGAAGCGACACTTTTTTTTTTGGGTCCCAAAAAAATCGCAACGACTCAACCGACCGCTGAATAAGCGGGGGGGGGGGTGGGGGGGGGGGGGGGGGTAAGAGGAGTTTTTTTTTTTGTCTCGAAATTGAAAATTGACATTTTGCTCCGTTGGGAGGGGGGTAAGGTCAATTTCTTAGGTCAGCCATGGGGGTATTGTTTTTTTTTTTTTAATAATAAAAAAAAAAAAAAAAAAAAGAATCCAAGGGGGGGGGGGTTTAGGATTTTTTAGGGGGGTTTACACACAAAATACCAAAGGGGGGGGGGTTTAACCCCCCAAAACATCCCCTGCGTACGCGCCTGGTTTGGGTATGCATGTATGGTGCAACAAATATATGTATAAGATCCTTTCACTCATGTATCTATCTGACTTTGAGATAAGAAATGAGCACTCTGCTGTAACCAGGTGATGATGAATAAAGTGTTTTAGTTTCATGACACCATGATGCCAGTATATCGCTTACAAGACTGTCCGAAGCGAGAGTCCAGACGTTGAGGGAGCACTGCCATGGGGGGAGGGGGAGGGGGGGGGTGGGGACGGGGTACTCAGTGGATGAAATAAGAATTATCTACATAATCATGCAGGGCCATTCAGGATGGTATGAGGGAAAAGTCGCATTTTCTTTTTCCTTCTCTGTTTTTTCGCCCTTCTTTTTTCGTTCCTTCGTAATGCGAAAAGGGGAGTGGCTCTTGCGCCGCCCCCCCATCTTTTAGCTTCACTAGTGTCCGTTTTATCATATGGAAGGATGAAAGAAGGGTTGTAGAAAGAGTTTGTGTCTTTCATGTGAATAGTCCCTATAAAAACAAAAGCATGCAAGCCATTATCGAATTCTTTGGATGTGTCACGATTGTGATAAAGCTGTACTTGTCTTTTGAGTAAAAGTATTTATGGATGTCATCAATAAACTGAAATGGATTTTTACCTCGACATTAATTGCAAAGTAATATGTACTATTATTCAGTGGCAGAAACTGAAACGGAAAATCGCTTCAGGGGACACTCGACCACAAGCTTGGACCACAATTTAGTTAGATAATTAGATTAATTAAGTATGCGAAATTGTATTTCAATTAATGCCGGGAATTATTTCGTTATTATTTGTATTATTATTATAATTATTATTACAAGTATCATCATTGGTATTATTACTATTATTATTATTATCATAATTATCATTATTATTATTTTTTGTTAACATTATTTGTGTGCGTGTGTTGATTTTGTTCGGGGTGTGTGTGTGTGTGGGTGGTGGTCATTGATCAAGGGTTTTGTTGCTTTACCGTAGATTCAAGCACGAAGTATATACTCGATATTATTCATTTAAATGATCTTAATGATGTCTCTTACAAAATATCCTTGATTTTTTTAATATTTTAAGTTCAATTATTAAGCACAGTGACGTGTGTCGTATTTCCACAATGGAGACAAATTGAGACAATTTAAGGAGCATTGTTTTCAATGGAGAACCTATTGAAAAAGACTGAGACCAATTTTGATTACTGCTAATGATTCAAGCACAAAGTATATGCATAAAATCATTGTTTGAAATGACCTTAATAGTGCTTCTGTCTCTTAGAGAAAAAAAATCGTAATAGAAAAAAATATATATTCAAGCATAGTGATGTCTGTTTTTAAAATGTGTATTACAGAGTTCAAAGAATGAGACAATATTCTAGGAATATCGTTTTCATTGGAGAGCCTATTAAAGAAGACTGAGAGTAATTTGATTATGTTAATAACTGCTCAATATGAATAGATAGCGCCTTTCCACTACACGTAACCGTATGGTGATGGTGTCGCTAGTATAATTATACATGAATTAATTGATCAAAGCACTTATACAGTGTTATATTACCTCGGTGAGTCGATTCAGCTACTGTTTCTTACAATGCACTCTCCTCACTCCACGGCGGAGCATTCCAGGCAGTCCCGCCAATTGAAGTACCTGTATTTGAAGTACTTTGTCCCAGTGCTATGAGTCATTCTTCTCACTTCTCTGAGACAGAATTATTATGGAAAACATTGTAAATGTGGCATATCTTTTACTTTAGATTGGCGTAGGATAAGCAGATGAAAAAACGTATTTTTCTTATATACTCAAAACCTGTTTCGCAATGCAGTGCATACACTGACTTTGTTTTTATTAATTGAAATAGTGGAGAGATACATGTGCATAATCAACAGCTCTTACCGTGAACGAGTGATAATAAAACATTCTTGTAGAATAGAGGATCAAATGGGCCCTCTTTTAAACCAATCTCACATTCAAGCGCAACCCGGCGAAATAGCAATTAGGATGAGGTCAAATAAAATCATTCCTTGTTTCTCGTCCATTTCTTCATCCCTTTTTCGGTTGCCTTCTTTGTCGAGATAACTATATTCGTTCTGAAATGAAATAAATAAGCATCTGAGGGCATCTAGACATTGGGATAACAAAAATGATTAATACAATGTAATTTTTGAATGTTTTGAGCCTCTTAGTGCATGTACAAATAATGGGAAAGAGATGTAGTTCATGTTGAAATTTGGCCTGATTAATAACATTTGTATGTAAAGAAATTATACCAAATATAAAAAACCTCCTCCTGGTCATTTTCGAAAATGCAGGATGATAAACTAGGAATCAGTTTGATTTGGCCTTTTGTTGTGAAGGAATGTGATATATAATCTTCCTTGCATCTGATAGATACTATGGATATATACCGTCGTGGTCGGGCTTCGATGGGTGACGAATCGTGTACGGTGTCGGGCCGATTGTCCTAACTCGCACGACTGTAGGATCACTTTACGATTTACGTATTAACACGATTGTGGAGGAGTAAGGAGCGCAGCTGCAGTATGTCACATATAGAATTGTGATGATGTTCTGATACGAAAGTCCAACATAAAATTACAATATCAATAGAATAATAAATAGAGAAATATTGTTAATATTTATCCTTTAAGATATTTTTTCCCCTAATTTCCCAACCCTTTTAGGCATGCACTTACCTTAGTTTCTTTTACAGTGACCCTTAGTTTCCCCAAAACACTGTGCAAATTGTGTTCTGTGTTCACAAATTCACGTAAGAAAAAAAAAATATAGTTATTTTATCCCTTTTTATTTTTTTTTTTTAGTTTCCAAACCTTTGACATTAATTTCTTTTACATTGACCCTATAGTTCCCAAGCACTCTGTAAATTGCACTCTGTGATCACAGTTTTCACGTCAAGAAAAATACTGCCTACTCTTCACCGCAAACGAAATTACAAGAGAAACATGTGTTCACTCAGGAAGAACAGCACTGATGCTGATGAGGCCTCCTGGGTAAACAAAATTGTATTATTATTATTATTATTATTATTATTATTACCATTTTATAAGTAGGCCTATGACACCCGTTTTATCAGACGCGGCTATTTATCACCTCGAGTTCACATGAACTGGGCTAATGCACTTTGGATACACAGCAGATCGAATTCGAACGAATTACTTGATGACCGTGGCGGATTCATGATTCGTCTTTTTTATAATTTCATTCATGTATCGAATATTGTGTAATTTTGGCTCTGAAGTACACATTTTATGACACGGAAGCAAACCATGTTATAAAGTGTTTTGACGGGCAGTATGCCAATCAATAATAAGTATACATGTGTTCTCGTGTAATGTCAAGCCATTAATCATCACCATGAATATGGTAAACTGTTGGATTCTGTTGTAAGATATACTTCTAGCTTTGACCTCTGTTCTGACTTCTGTCAATATTTGTCTTCTTGTAACAAGAATATCCGCATCAAGTGTTGCTATGTATCGTTTTTCTTCACCTAATACGCTTCACATATTTTATGTATCTAATTGCACAGAGCTCAGTGACCTTGACAACATGACAATGACAATGACAATTTATTCCCTTGTCACCCACATTGGGGTATTGGGGAAGTTTACAATCAGTTTGAATTTGTCGATGTAACACTGTAAAATATACAATTCAATTCGACTTAATGTTAATCAATGAAAAATAAAAATATCGACAATAGTGAGAAAAATTATGATGATAATGATAATAATAATAATTATAATAACAATATTAATGATAATTATAATAATTTATACAAAAACGATGATGATAATTGTAACGATAAGTAATGACAAAATTAATTGAAGCAATTGTGCTCGAGTCCTTTGTTGCGCGCAGCAGTTGCTATTCATTTACACGTTAACAACATGGGACCACCTACTACTGAGTAGTAAAAGCACTATGCCATGCCAATATGATTAATTTTACCCATGTTTAATACATGCACCTGCGATTTACTGTATTAATTAGCTTATCATTTGAACCTTTGTCGTTCACCATTCATATAGCTTGTCATCGCTTTGTATCCATTAGACGGTTCTTTTATTGTCTATTCAAAAATAATTCAGTTCGTTCATTTGAAATTGTCAAAATGATCATTTTAAGATCAAGAGAAATTTTAAAAATCTGTTAAGTTCTAAAGTGAGGTGAATAGAGAGGAGCCATCCTGCGACACTTCTTGTATTTTAGTGCACAATGTTACAGAGAGGATTGATTATTGGGGTTTACATTTTGTCTTAATGCAAACCATACAACACGTAAAAGGTAAATGGTTAACTCGCACTCGTGATGGATATCGTGTGTATTGAAATGTTGACATCAAACCTATAATGTGTCACATTGCTACTGGTACCATTATGATTAATTAGTATGTATGCATATACGGTGTAGCATGCGTATACTTTCCACAGAATACTTGAGGGGGGGGGGGGAGGGGGTAGTACTAAGTAGAACATAAATGTCTACGTAAGCGATATCAGAGATAAGCCATGACAATGACTTTAACGATAGTCATGACAATAACATAACATGACAATAGCATGACAAAAAATGACAATGAAAACAAAAATCATTTATTCCAATGAAAAGTGGCGACGTGGCTCAATCGGATCGGCGACTGGCTCTCATGCTTGACTTTCCCACGTCGGGTAAGCTGAATGTGCATGGGTAATCCACCGTATCTCATACATCGCATTATTTTTTATACGGAAATAAATACTACTACTATACACCCTACGCACTTTAATAATTATACGCTGTACACATCTCGCAAAGAGTAGGGTGTAAACCCGGTGTTTAGTGCGCCTGCATATACAAAACTGGCTACAGATCTTTGTGATAGGCTGCATAGCCCTTTTGAAGATGAACAAAAGAAGAAGAAGAATCCTTTACAAGGAGCATGAGCAAGGTTTTGATTGTAAAAGGGAACAGGCGCGGATCCACGGGGGGGGGGCCGACGGGCCCGGGCCCCCTGGCTTTAAAAAAAAAAAAAAATAAATAAAAATAAAAAAAAAAAAAAAGTTTTCGGGGTCAAATACAAAAAATAAATGATGCATACCCCCCCCCCCCAACTGAGCGAGATATTGTTAGGCTCGATTTTCACATTTTCGGGGTCAATACCCCCCAAAAATGATGCTCACTACCCCCCCCCCCCCCCCCCCCCCCCCCCCCCCCCCCCCCCCCCCCCCCCCCCCCCCCCCCCCCCCCCCCCCCCCCCCCCCCCCCCCCCCCCATGAGCGAGATATTGGTCGGCACGATTTTCACATTTTCGAGGTCAAATACGAGAAAAAAAATTATGATCACTACCCCCCCCCCCCCCCCACTGAGCGAGATATTGGTCGGCGCGATTTTCACATTTTAGGCCCCCCCCCCCCCCCATCGGCAAATCCTGGATCCGCCCCTGAAAGGGAACACAAATTTCAAAATAGTGCATGTTACATGTTATTACATGTTGTAGCTGTTTCAATGTCAATAACATTTATCAATTTATGTCAAATTGTTTTCATTCTCTGAGTCCAAAATGACTTTGTGATTTATGTATAAGGTTACTAAAAGTTACTATCATAAACATTAATTAAACACACATATTTGTTCTTCTTCAATATTTATCGTTGCAGATTGAAAAGAATTCAAATTTTCCCGAGAACAATCGCCGTGAATACGTTTCAAGACAGAGGAGATGACCGTATTCTCACAGGATTCCGGCTGGTCTGCGGTCCCTGTAAGTAAAGTTAATTAAATAATAGATGTATATATACAAAAAACAAGCACAGAAGGGGGAACTCGTTATTTATTCCGGCGACAATTACTCCGTTAAAAAAAAAAAATCGTTAAGAATATTAGGTTAGGGTATTCGGTTTGGAGTAATAATACCTTAGTCACCGTGACAAACCGATTCAACATTGACCCAAAACCGACCGATAATTAGATTAATGTATTTTTTTCGTCTTTCAGGGTCAGTTTATTTGATATGACTGGAGTGCTATTAATACTATAGGGATAAACATGTTACATGCAGGCCCTGCGGAACGTTGTTCAAAGTGGGGAGGGCGGAGGTGCTAAAGTAAGTGGAGTGTAAATTGGCGTGGGGTCCAGGGACCGAGCCCCATGAAGCTCAGGGGTTTTAGGCATTTAATTACGGTCATATGCGCATTAAGGGCCCTGATGGGGTCCAGGGGGCGGAACCCCCGGAAGCTCAGGGATTTTAGGCATTTAATTACGGTCAGATGAGCATATTTTGATACTTTATTTGTGTCAGTACGCCGGTGAATTTGTCGCAGGAACATAAATATAGTTTATGAAATTTGTTTGGTTTAGTCTGGTTTAGTTTAGTTTAGTTTTTGTTTGTTTTTGTTTTTAAAGGGGACGGGGTTGTTCATAATGAAAAGTAATATATTGATTACCACAATATTCAATGCGCACATAGAGCGTCTCATCCTTTTCTTGATGAATTCTGCAAACACGATGCCAACTACTTTCAAAAAATCAATTTCAATAGCCTTGTGCCTCACCAATTGAAAAGTGCAGACATGATAATGAAGTTTTACGTAATCCGACCATGTTGTCTATGGAATGTGCAATATGCTATTGTAATTGACCTTGAGTTGATTTTTTTTCTCGAAAATAGTTACGATTGAGTTTGCGATAAATGACAAATTTCTCAATATTTCATTTCAAGTTGAATAATCAGATGGTTTTCACCCCTAAATGTAAAGAGTCATCGAGTTCATCTATATAGACAGCTGCTTTATTTCATTTGTGATGATCCCATAATATTTTCATGATTATTGTCTTTGAAGTATGAATGTCGTAATTCATTTTAAAAGAAATATTTGGATTTCTCCCTCAAAATCATGGCGACGTTCGGTGACTGTCTTATTGACTGTCAAAGTTCAGTTTGCTTCAGATTAGCTTGGCATTGCAACAAATAGGAAAAACTCACACTTTGGTGCGATATCTTGGAGCTCCTTAATCCTGAGATGAAATGTAGCAGATTTTTACAGGTGCCCCTACTCTGGGTTGATAGATGGCGCTGTAACATAAAACCCGCTTTGCTCGAAACAGAAGTTATGAGCTTTATGAGCGCATGGCTTCTCAGTCGGTGGAAATGATTGTCGACGAATTTGATTCGAATGATTAATCAAACCTTTATCAGTTCAGTATCCGTAAAAGGCAAACAAAAGTCTTGAAATTTAGTTTGTACACGATTGTGTATTGCTAATGAGGGTGCAGATGTGTATTTTGTAATTAGCTTCATGCAGGTGCGTATAGCTGAAGGAGGCAGGGGGCACGTGTCACACCTCACCATTTAAACGGCAGGGGAGGGGAATAGAAAAATAAGAAGAGACAAAGTAGAAAGGGAGGGTAAAATGAACATGATAAGAGAATGATAGGATCCTCCCGCACCGTGCTCCTAATCAATGGCCTTGTTTATGCGTTTTCCCTGACTTACCAAGACCTGTACTCCCCCTCACGGTAACACAAGTGTCAATCCCCCCACAACGCTATGCCATTATTTAGTTTCTAGCATTCCAAGGAGACATGTACATTACGGTATGTCAATTAAAAAGGGTTTACTTACTTAAAAACCCTTGAAATATTATATTCTTCCATTTCCATTAATATCATTTTTATTGTTTTTTAAATATTTTTTCTTCTTCAGTTCGTATGCCAGCTAGCCATTAAACATAATTAATAATACATAGAAATTACATCTATAATAAAAGATACATGCCCAACATGAGCAAAACTGTATTGTGCTCTGTCTCATAAACATACTGATGCCTTCGAGCTAGTACAATTTTTTTCTTCGTCTAAAAATATCCAACAATATTAGTGTTCCACCTGCAGTGGGATATTTCTGTTGAGTCGGACTGAATATACGTCACTTGTCATTGTTAAGCGCACAATGAAAATGAGAATGAATTCTGTACTCGAATCCTGACTTTAATGGGACAGAATATTAACTGAAAAGACTCAGCAAGAATTCACACAGTGAACAACAGTTCTTCAATGTCGTCTGGATCAATATTATTATTCTGTGTACAAAAACGTAGATCCGAGGCTCTGCGTTTTTCGGAGGCCTTGAAATCGTTGCATTTGAAGAGAGTTGTCCATATTCTCTTTCCGAAATATATGTACTTCTCAGTCAATCACATATGCGAACAATATTGTTGAGAGGAGTGTCAGTTTCATCTCGAATGTCTTTCTTGGAAAATACTTGAACTGGCAAATGCAAATGCAGGACTGTCCTTTGCATAATACCGTCTGCCCATCAACAACGAACGAAGAGGGTAATGAAACGCCGAAAATGTCTCCATACATGATTTGATTTAATGTAAGAATCGGGTATGATATATGAGGTGCGATGAGGTAACCCAACCTATTTTGTGTATATTTAGTGCGGAAGCAAAATCCCCTTTGCCTGGCAATGCTTTGTCGATCTTGATGAGTGAGTCGTGACTTTCGTTGGTTAAATATTATGTTATGAAATGCTTCCTCAGCTCGCTTGGCATCTGGTAGGTTTGCATGTACGTTCACCAAACACCTTAAAGCTTATCTGCCATAGTTTACAGGAGGGATTACCGCCTTGCAAGGTCACTGGACAGGTGGTTATCTCATCAACTCAGCTCTCAGTTAACATAAGAAAAAGAGGATCATGGGGTACCAATGGTCACCGATTAGGCATTGTTTGTTATATAGAGGGCGCAAGTAACTATAAGTAGTGCAGAAGGCCTTAAGCAGGGCTCCCACTTAGCCGAGTTGGAGCCTCGAGTTGTGGCGAGCTGGTGCAATCTTGTGGCAAGTAGTTTTATCATTAAAACATATTTCTTGATATCAAGAATTCAATTCTTGATATCACGAAATCGAATTCCTGATATCACGAAATCGAATTCCTGATATCACGAAATCGAATTCTTGATATCAAGAATTACCATTGCTTTACAACATAAAATTATTTCTTGATAACAAGAATTGATTTATTGATATTAATTAATAATAAAACGGCTTGCCATAAGATCGCGCCAGCTCGCCACAACTCGAGGTTCCAACTCGGCTAAGTGGGAGCCCTGCTTAAGTCCCTATGAAAACTGGCGCTAGATAGATAACTACGTCATAATATTGAAAGGAGAATGAATTGCCTTCATGATGAACTCATCTGAACTCTGATGAACTATGAATTTTCTGATATCGAGGAGATAATATCAATGATTGAGTGTGAACGTTCTTGGTTTTGAATCGTTCGTGTGAACATGAGTTGATTGCATATAGTCTTGAGAAGAAGGCAATATATTGGGGGAATGATTTATAAACCAAATGGAAGACGAAAGCTCGTTAAGCTTAACCCGCTATTGCTCTGCACTGGGTATCTTATCGTAAATGTTTAATCTGCATGTTTAGCATCCACATCCATGGCAGCAATTAATGCTCGATAAAAATGGTTGAATTCTGTGCCCAGTCGACATTGTGAATTTTAAAAGGGGCAATCATTCATCATAAAAATTTCCCATCCTCACTGCAAAATCTGGAACTTGAATTAATTTATGAGGATGTCCGAACTCGACATCGTACAGTGTCTCCGTGGTCGGTACCTCTACCCAACCCCGAGATCGTCTTCGAAGTCGATAAGGTGATAAGTTGATAAGGCTTGACAACCGAACTAGTTCGGTAGGGTCACATGACTTGTCACAAACGAACTTTACCATGGCTGGTAGTCCGAGTCAATCTCCCGTTCGTAAAAATCAATCTGATGTTCAGTTTCCGATGATGCCTGTCTACGACAGCAGAATGACGAAGAAACCATCTCTAAAAAGTCTAATGGACCCTAATGGACTTTACTAGCACTGTAAGACCGTAATGACAATGTAAGTTATAGCCCACTATATCAACAATGTCGGTTCTTTGAGGGCGCTCTGAACCGACAGCCAACGAGACCGAAATGTTCTGTGTTTCCTTTTATAATTATCTTTGTTTTGTCGGTCTCGTAGTCTGTCGGTCTATACTGTCCACTGTCGGTGGGCTGACTCCGACAATGTAAAATTGCAAAACTCGTATATTATACTAACAATTGATACATTCAGGAAAGTCATCACAATCTGTTCTTTATGTTCTTTAAGAAAAAAGGGATTTCCCCATCCGCTCGTGTGCAATTCCGATTCATGGTCCTCGCAGTTCCAGGCATGTGGTATATTTTGTCGCAAGTCGCAACCGCAACAAACAATTCTTAGTCTCTCACATCTCATCCGGTGAGTAGTTACAAAAATATAATAATCTGATATTTTGTGGTAAAGTTATCCGATGCACACACACACACACAAACAGATGTTATTTGCGTCAAATCAACTTTTTACCAAAAAAATTCTTGCTGAATTTTCCCACGTGGAATGGCCCCAATGAGAAGTGATATACACTGGGGAAATACAAGATGGCATTCATACACGTTGTCGCTGTTGGGATGCTGAGGCCAAGGGGAAGTTGTAAAGACATCCATTGCGAGATATATTATGCTACGGCTATTTTAGGTAACAATCCATTATCAACTGTCAATAGTTTATGGCTGGATCGCTCCCCTGCCCCTATGTTGTCAGATCAAATTGATTTAAAACCACATCAATGTCGCCCTCTGGCGGTTTGCTTGCGTTAGTGCGTAAAAGAACTTTGGAACCAAAATCACCAGGAATAAAAAATTACAAGCAATTTGTTTACTGCATGCGTGGAGCG